GATGCTGCACCAATTAACCCTTTGCTCCCACTGCCATTGGCAAAACTGCTTCACAAGGTTAAATGAATTGCAGAGGCTGCACTTTTTTTGGTTTTGCGTAAGACCCCCCCCCCCCCCCCCCCCCCTTTCCATCTTTGACTAATGACAGAGCAACAATGCTATCAATTGTGGAAAGGAAGCAACGGGGGGAATAAATATGATAAGAAGCAAGCAATAATGCATTGTTGTTTATTAGTTAAATGTATATTTCCTCTTTTTCCAGAGAACCCAAGGATGCTGTACATATCTCTCCTCCTTCCAACAACAACCCTGTGAAGCAGGTCAAGCTGAGAGTGTGTGATAGGTTTCTATCACACACTCTCCTGGGGCCCATTCACACTACAGAATTATACTGCAATCATTTCACTTGACCCACCATGGAATCCTAGGATAGGCCAAGGCACTAGAGCTCTCTAGGCTGAGCATTTTACACACCCCTCCCTAAATTGCATATCCATAGGACAGAATCATGGCAGTCAAAGTGGAATAATAGCGCTATAATTCTGTAATGTGAATAGGCCCCTGGTTGTCTACTATGCCACACTGGATCTCATTATACTAAAAATTTAAAGGTAAAGGTAAGTCTAGTTGTGTCCGACTCTGGGTGGGTGGTGCTCATTTCCATTTCTAAGCTAAAGAGCCGATGTTGTCCATAGACGCCTCCAAGGTCATGTGGCTAGCATAACAGCATGGTGTGCCGTTACCTTCCCACTGGAGCAGTACCTATTGATATGCTCACATTTGCATGTTTTCGAACTGCTAGGTTGGTAGAAACTGGGTCTAACAACGGGACCTCACCCCGCTCTCCAGATTCGAACTGCTGACCTTCCAGCCAGCAAGTGCAGCAGCTCAGCAGTTTAACCTGCTGCACCACTGGGAGTTCCCTCATTACACTGTGTAACAAAATTTGGGGAAAAATCTGCTCCTGATTTGAAAGTTTTATTTCCTGTTTAAATGTGTGGTACTTACTTTGAAAGTAATTGTTATGCTCCAGAAACTTCATTTTTGTGGCTGCCACAAACTATTTTTTTATTTTATTGGTTTAGATGAGATTGTATGGGCCACATCTTTTGGACTGATTTGGAGCACATTTTAAACTTGACGAATTGTTTTTAAATGTATATTTATTATCATTTTATGTAATTGTGTATTTTATTGATGTTTTTAGATTGTTGGAAGCCGCCCTGATTCTCTCTTGAGAGGTCGAGAATAGGACGGAATACAAATGTTCTAAATAATAATAATAATAATAATAATAATAATAATAATATGTTGAATTGGTTGAGACTCAGTGAGATATTCACTGAAAAACTATAGCAAAATGTACTGCAGGCTGTCCCACAAAAACAAAGATTTTGCAGTTTAACAAACTTTTTTGATGTTTTTATAATAGAACCAATTAGGAAATAATATTTATAACCCAGGAACAAAAATTGTGTTGCATGGTATTATTGACCCCACTGACGGGCAATGGGACCACTGAAATCTGGACCTCTGGTAAAACATGGGATGACATCTACAGTGAATGTGCCTGTCTGTCCTTTATTCTGTGTTGATCCTACACAAAACTTGAGAGTGGACACAGAATTGCTACAGAAACCTCAGAAAGTTTCAGAAAGCACTATAAGCTAGAGCACCCTGAAGCCACTGACCAGGCACATTCCTCATATGACCCAAACCCACAACAGCTTCCTGAAAAAGTCATGTGCTGTTACTACTGTACAGCTGGAAATAGCCAAAGTGAGGCAAGAGAACTTTTGTGCTTTGAAGAGCTTATCTTCCCGAAATACATTCTCAGTCATAAAAGCAATGGTTTCCTTTTGAGAAAGTTGCAGAACTCTCTGGCCTCTGACCAAACACTTGGCCTCGTGGCACAACATACTCGTCTTTCAAAATGAGGCAGGACCCACAGCAGTGATAAGTATCAGTGTGTAATTCTTCTCAGCTAAGTCAAGATAGGACCCTGGGGAGTGTCTTAAAACTGGTTTTAGTGGTCCTGGTTCTCCCCTAAGGAATTTTGAGGGTTCTTTTACTTTTGTTACAGCACTAAAATATCTGTTGGAGAATGTTCCACATGGACGAGGAGAAAACCTCACAACACAGAAAACATGTTGTTCCTAAGATGTCCTCACATCATCCCAGACTACAAAATCGACACCTTCAGTACTTTACAGTTTGGCCTCTACACCAGCATTTCTCAACCTGGGGGTCGGGACCCCTGGGGGGGTTACGAGGAGGTTTTCAGTGGGGTCGCCAAAGACCATCAGAAAACACATATTTCTGATATCCTAGGAACCTCTTTGGCAGAGGAGGCTGAAGATCTCTCTCTCTATCCTTCTCTTCCTTTTTGGAAACAGACAGGGAATCCTCCTACCAAAAGCCCTCCTCCTGCCGTGATTGGCCAGCCTCTCAGCCAAGGGTAGGGCTGTTTCTGAGACACCAAATTAAATGATACAACTAACTGCTATGAGTTAGGGTGAGCTAAACAATTGGCAGACATATTTGAAAAGTTCTCTAGACCTGAAACCTTATATGGTTAATTAAAAAAAAACGACGTTTTGGATATGCCGGGCATCATTGTGCTTTATAGAAAAACTATTTTTCTCAACTACATGTTGGGTGATGTAATTCAGAAAATGCTTCTCTGTGTCACATGCTCCAGTGTGTCATCTCATTACAGCATATATATTGCATGCCAGATAAAAATATTGGCATTTAAAGGCATGTTGTTCTTTTAATTTCTATTCCTGTGAAATACAACTCAAGTGTGGATTCTGTGTGTCCTTACTGTTGCAAAATGGTCTGGATAGGCATATCTCAGTTAATATAGCTCCTGATAAAGAAGATCTCTTTTTTTTAGTCTTTTTAAACCCCTCTTCCTCCTTGCACTCTAACTAAAAGTCCCCCCTCACTTTTGCACTACCTGGATGAGGAAGAAGGAAAGGAGAATTACACATTTTAAGTGTTGTGTTGCAGTGCCATGGCTGCAGTAAACAATGCAATAAACCTTAAGCCAGAGACAAAAATGATCTTGTATTGTCAAAGGCTTTCATGGCTGGAATCACTGCGTTGTTGTAGGTTTTTTCGGGCTATATGGCCATGTTCTAGAGGCATTCTCTCCTGACATTTTGCCTGTATCTATGGCAAGCACCTTCAGAGGTTGTGAGGTCTGTTGGAACTAGGAAAATTGGGTTTATATATCTGTGGAATGTACAGAGTGGGGCAAAGGTGACCAGTTGAAACATTCACACCTAGCTCCAACAGAAAAGAGTTCTTTGTCCCACCCTGTACATTCCACAGATATATAAACCCAATTTTCCTAGTTCCAACAGACCTCACAACCTCTGAAAATGCTTGCCATAGATGCAGGCGAAACGTCAGGAGAGAATGCCTCTAGAACATAGCCATATAGCCCGAAAAAACCTACAAAAACCCAAAAATGATCTTCTCTAACCTACCCTATTGTAAGTATGCATACCTGCCTATAACAGACAAGGACAATGGTAATCATCTCCCAAATACCTTACTGAGCAGCAAAACAGAACCTCACCAGCTACCCACCTCTCCTAACATGTTAAAAAGCCAAAATCTTTAAGTTTTACATCAACATAGAAACAATAACAAAAGTGGAAGCTGGTTTTTAAAAAGTGTTCTTCCTGAGTGCTCTTTGAAAGAAGCTTCCAAGTGGTTTTCGAAAATTCAAAGTGTTTTTGTTTATTTACGCAATGTTTAATCTGATTGTTTCATTTTGCATGTGTGTAATGTTAGTTTTGGATAAAGAGTTTGCTGACCCACATTGAAATATTCTTCTTTTTGTGGTGCAGAACTTATCCCTATTCTTTTCATGTTTTTTCTGCCTCTGGTCCCAATTTTTAGTTAAACAAACAATGGCAAGGAATACATCTATTTTGTTAATTGTGGTATAGCTGTGCTCCAAAGTTGGCCATCTGTTGTTCAATCATCAGAAGATCCCACTACTTCAGCTATTCATGAATAGATAATTTATGGCTGTCAATTTCAAGAAAATGTGTTTTGGAAATATGGTTGACTTATGTTGATGTATATACTTAGCCAACTTTTGTGTATAGTATAGTCCTTGTATCCGTAGGTGATACATTCCCAGACTTTGTGTAGATATATAAAACTGCTGATAATAGCGAACTCTAGTGAAATGCTTCTGATCCAAGAAGGCCATAAAGCCATGCTGGAGTACCTAGAAAATGCCTAGAGATTGCATATTTAATTGGATATGGAGAAATAACACCATGGATACTTGTTCTGCAGATATAGCAATCATAAAAGGTAAAGGCTTCCCCTGACATTAAGTCTAGTCGTGTCTCACTCTTGGGGGCTCATCTCCATTTCTAAGCCAAAGAGCCAGCATTGTCTGTAGATGCCTCCAAAGTCATGTGGCTGGCATGACTGCATGGAGCGCCATTACCTTTCCAGAGAAGGAGTACCTATTGATCTACTCACATTGGCATGTTTTTGAACTGCTAGGTTGGCAGAAGCTGGGGCTGACAGTGGGAAGTCACACCTTTTGGTCAGCAAGTTCAGCAGCTCAGTGGTATAATCCGCTGCACCACCTGGGGCTCCCTATAGTGATCATACTGTACTATATAATATAGTGATCATACTGTACTATATATTTCCCCTTCCCTCTGATTGAAACCCACCTTCTTCCCCACTACTATGTGATCATAAGACAAAGAAGTAAAGCAGGCAAAATGAATAAAAAAGAGTATTGGTTCTATATGAAACACGTTTTTAAAAAAGCACCAGTACTTCCCAGTTTTTACCCAAATGTATATTATGAAAAATAACATACAAAGCAATCCTAGTTAGATAGTGTAAGGAAAAGATAAAACAGCTGATCAGCCAATGTATTTGCAAGGCACCCAAGCCAATGCACAATAACCCCCTTGTCGCACCCTCGCCCCACACTACCCCAAAAAGCCTACCCTCTGTAGGTGAAGCCTGTGAAACTGGTCTGCAATGCACTGCAACTTCCGTGCAATCTGAACTTCAGTACGCAGTTCCTGTGGACTCTCCTGAGGTTCCTCCTGGAAGTGTGGATTCAATGAGAAACCAATTGGGCTGACGTGTAAACGGTACCCAGCATTCCCTGTCAAATTTCACAGAAGAATCAAGGACTTACAATCTCTTAGTATGAAATACACAGTCTTTTTGCCATAAAAAGCACAACATAAGATAGCATACTTTGACAAAGAGTTAACCAAGATAACTAGTCATTGATTCCTATTAACTTACGCCTTGGAGGAAAAAAAATTGAATTAAACAGAGCAATGATCATAGCTAATTTCCAATTATCTTTAGCAAGCTGACATCTGAAGCTGTTATCCCAATTCCCTGACAGGTTGTACAAGATTTTGCTTTCTACACACTGACAGGTGATAAAGCAGTGTAATTTAGGTGGGAAGTTGAAAGAGGTTTTTCTGCAGCATTCCCTTTTTGCAGCATGGAAAAAAATGTCAAACTATCTCCTTAAATCGTTTTAGAACACATAGCTCATAGGTTTCATGAACTCCCCTATCCTTTTCTGTCACACTGATTTTGCAAATGAAATTTAGTGATGGGGTGGACTATATTTTTAAAAGAAGGAAGAATATATCTCACTTTAAGGCACATTTCATATACCTGCAAGTCCTCTTGAAATGTATATTTCCTACATAGTAAAGGTAAAGGTTTCCCTTTGATGTTAAGTCAAGTCGAATCTGCCTCTGGGGGGGGGGGGGGGGTGTGCTCATCTCCATTTCTAAGCTGAAGAGTCGGCATTGTCTATAGACACCTCCAAAATCATGTGGCCGGCATGACTGCATGGAGTCCTCTTATCAAAGCGGTACCTATTGATTTACTCACATTTGAATGTTTTCAAACTGCTAGGTTAGCAAAAGCTGGGGCTAACAGCGGGAAGTCACTCATCTCCCCGGATTTGAAGCGCCGACCTTCCGATCAGCAAGTTCTGGAGCTTACCAGTTTAACCTGCTGTGCCAACACAGCCCTTTTATCCTGCATACTTGGTATTAAAATTGAAATGCAATTAAAAGTCACCTCCCCCCAAAAAAGAAAATGCACACTACTGGCTTTCCAGCACACCAGTATTTATTTATTTATTTATTTACCTTACTTATATACCGCTGTTCTTAGCCCGAAGGCAACTCACAGCGGTTCACAACAAATACGAACAGCAAAAATTCAGTGCTACAGTATAGAAACAGTTATACTCTCCAATATTTAAAGGTGAAAATGGGGACACGTGTAGAGGCCAAACAACATCAGAGAGTGGCCACAATGGTAGAAGTTATTAAGGAATGGGAACACTCAAGCTAGCAGAGAATATAGCAGTCTGCTTTTGCTGGAGTCTACTGGAAAGAGCAAGGTCCTGACCCTTTCCCTTCCTGAGTGATTTGACTGTGATCTACCTTTGCACTTTTTTTTACCCAGTTTGTAGAAATGGAAGTATGTTGAGGACTAAGGGTAAGTGGGAAGAACAGAGAGAAACTGGGACGTTTTAAAAGCAGATGAAAAGGTGGGATGACCAAAGTTGCCAAATCAGGATAGTTGAACTCCCCACAAAGAAAATTACTCTCAGATCCATGGATATTGCATGTTGCTGCCTTAGAACAACACAAAACCCACTCCATGACTGCTGCATCAATGTTCTGTAAAGAACCAAAAAATAATCATGATGGAAATAATACTGGACTTTGAATTGCTGTGGTTGCTGTGTACCTTCAAGTCATTTCTGATGTATGGAGACTATAAAGCAAGTATATCATAGGGTTTTCTTGGCAAGATTTGTTCAGAAGGGGCCTGGCTTTGCTTCTGGCTGTAGTTGAGAGTGTGTGACTTGCCCATAGTCACCCCATGAGTTGTCATGTCTGAGCAAGAATTTGAACACTGGCCTCCAAAGTTGTAGATCAACATTCAAACCACTAAACTACTGGAGTTTGAATCTCCCCAATTGTAAGATTATATTTATCCGTGCAACTTCATACTTGAGTGTTGTATGGTTTCTGAGCTGTATGGTTGTTTTAGCAGCATTTTCTCATGACATTTCGTCTGCATCCTTGCCTGGCATCTTCAGATTAGCCAGCCACAGATGCTGCTAGAACACAGCCATAGAGCCCAGAAACCACTTAACACTCCAGTGATTCTGACCGTGAAAGCCTTCAATAACTTCATGTTTGCTTAGTGGGTTGGGAATATATAGGAGAAACTGCCATTTTTTAAAACAAAAAAACTAATCAACTGGACATATGATTTTTAAAATGTATTATCGCCTCTTTTCTTTATGGGAAAGATGTCTATGTCAACATGCGCTCTGTCTCCTTCTACTAAAGATAATATCAATTTTTAAAAGATGTATGCAAACAAAGCAAAATATTTTGCATACTGAAATTCTATACACATTTACCTGGAAAATTCCATTGAACTCAGTGGAACAAACTTCTGAGCAGAGAAACACAAACTGTGTTCTTCAGAACACATTTTATGCATGTCTCTAGAAGGGAGTTGAGCCATTACAGCATGCCCCCATATGCATGGAGCATATATTCCTAGACTTTGCATGAATATGCAAAACTATGAATGACAATAATAAACTTTATTGAACTGAAGGACTTATATCACAAGAATATTATAGGGTCATACTGGAGGACATGGAAAATGCCTAGAGAGGGGACATTTCGTTGGATGTGGATAAATGAAGCCCCGGATATGAGAGTCATACTATTTATTGAGATGCACCCCCACCAAAGTGTGCCAAAATACTTTGCTTTTTCCTCTTGTTTCCCCTGCAAAATGCTAACTGCAAGGGATATTCTGTCATTTCCTGACACTACTTTGGAGCGGAAACATGGAAAAACCAGGCATTTGAGAGGGGTTGGGGGTTCTGAGGGGATCTGTGATTGCTAAAGAAGGGTTTTGTATGTATGCATGCACTGTGGAGCTTTGATTGCATTTCTGAGGGTGATTTTCCCCTGAAAGTTGTGCCAATATTTTAATATAACAGGATTCAGAACTGGTGAATAGATTTGGGGGACACAAAAGAGTCCTAAAATATATAGTTCCTGGCTGAAGCTTTCCAAGAGGAGAAACATATAATTTAAAAGAACAAAAATGCAAAAAAAAAATCATAATTTTGAAGAGAGAATTTGTTAGTATAGTTGATTTAATATTTCATATTGAACTACTGACCATAAAGATTTTTAAATTCTTCAGGTATACCATGTTTCTTCAGAAGAGCCACAGAATCAAGTCCCAGCCCTTCTAGAGTCCCTTCAGAAATCCCAGGTTTGCAATCCCACTTTCCTTATTATATAATTATTATTTAGTTGTTTATTGGCTATCGTACACAGTTTTCATATAATTCTAATGCCACTGTAGTGAACTTGGCATTGTTTGGGGTGGACTATCCTTCTTTGGAGGCCTTTTATACAGTGGTTGGATGGGCATCTCTTATGAAGTGTGCTAGTTTTTCATGGCAAAGCATTAGACTAGATGGGCCTTCCCACTTTATGATTCTATGAAATTTAAGGCAGTAAACACTTCGTGTTAAACCAGTGGTTCTCAACCTGTGGGTTCCCAGATGTTTTGGCCTTCAACTCCCAGAAATCCTAATGGCAGGTAAACTGCCTGGGATTTCTGGGAGTTGTCGGTCAGAGCACCTGGGGACCCACAGGTTGAGAACCACTGTGCTAAAACATAGTGATATGTTTGGTCCTTTCTGTTTGCTTCATGCTCCTCCCTCCCTTTGGACATGAGAATGTAATTCAGCCTACAAACTTCAGAGACCCTTGCTATTGTCACAGATTAAGGCTAGGCAATTGTTTATATGCCAATTTCTACCCCAACAGCCCCTCAGCAGGATGCATTTCCAACCAAACAGGAGGTGACATCCTTTCCACTTTCATTTTTTGCTTAGATTTCAGCCATCTAGGGTAAATGCCAGTGGGGTAAGGAAAAGGCGAATCAATGTATTATGCAGGCTTCAGGGGAATTTGAGGACTGGGGACTTAACAGTTCATGGGCTCAGGTTTGGAGGATTTCTTGAGAGTGCATTTCTGCAGAATGAGAAATGCCTCTGGAAGAATAGCTTAGTGCAACACAACTACCTTATCCATGGGAGAGAAGTTGTTGGACTTTATAGCAATAAACAAAATTACAGACAATGAAGAATGTGTGCCGAAAAATACTTTAGAGTCACAATGGAGGACCTTGAAAATGTTGAGAAAGGACATGTTTGATCAGGCATGGATAAATGAAAAACTGATACTAATTCCATTGATTGAGAGGTTGTACTGTATTTTTATAAAAAGAAGCTCACATGGCTCACACATGAATTTAATAAGTTTTTTTCAAATTTCTCAAGTACTTATTTTGTCTATCGTATTTGTCAGATTGATATCTGTTAGTTGATCACTGTATTCTTAGATGGCAGCAATTTTCCACTGTCCTAAAAAGTCACTGCTGAAAGTTTATTTATTTATGATATTTCTATCTCGCCTTTCTCAAGCCCAAAGGCAACTCAGGGTGGCTTACAAATTGGCAGCAATTTGATTCCATAACAATCCACAAAGTTGAAGGAATCTCTAGTGTAAAAAATGAGATTGTTTCTTCATGTAAGGAACCATAAGTCATTCATGTAAGTCATATGACTTTGACAGTTAAGCACACTCAATCTTGGTTAGTACTTGGATGGGAAACTATCAATGAATACAAAGTGCTGTCAGATATAATTCAGAGGAAGGAACTGTAAAACCCATCTCTGAGTATCCCTCATCTAAGAAAACCCTATGAAATTCATGGAGTCTCCATAAATTGATAAGTGACTTGAAGGCACATAGACACATTAGAAGGTGCACAAAATGAGGTTGGGGGCACATGAAACCTGTGGACTGAAGTTTCCCCACTCCTTACCACAGATACATAAGATACAGGTTTGTTTGCCATCAAACAAAGAAATACGTAGCATTTGAGCATTCTTACCATAGAAGAGTCTCTGGGGTTCTTCTGTGACACCACAAGGTAACATCAAATCCTGGCTGGAAGAGGATGGGTTGAGTGTTTGTGTTGCTTTGTCTTGCTGCTTAGCCTGCCTACTGCCAGGGCCACAACAGTGTGTAAGTGGGAAGAGCTGGAACCTCCCCAGAAGGCAGTTGTAGGATTTGCTCTGAGTGAAAATGCCAGGAAAGGTCATCTCACTGGGTTGACTGGCGAGTCCACAGTCTTCCGCATGGAACACATCATCCTCCAGCCCATCCAAAGTGGAGAAGTCATCATCCAAGTAGCTGGGAGGATCCATTTTACTGCAAAAATAACAGGCACACACATATTATGAAGCTTTTACTGAATGGTAGCTTCAAGAAGAGACCCTGCTTCTTTTCTCCTTGCATCTTCTTCATAGATCAGCTTGCATAAGAGATCTGGGGGTGATGAGAAAGAATAAGTCATACTGTCCAATTGATCTGCTTAATGACAAATGTTGAAGGGAAGTATCATGAATAAAATTCAATTACACACACAATTAAAAGCTTCAAAAGAAGCGAATATATTAGAATCAAAACTGAAAAGAAACCGAACTAGCTCATCACAACCATGTTAACTGGCAGGGATCTTTGATTCTAATCCATGGAATTTAGACCCCTTCTCTATTGGCAGATAAAATCCAGATTATCTGCTATGGCAGTGTAGACTCATATAATCCAGTTCAAAGCAGATAATCTGTTTAGATGATCTGGATTATATGGCAGTGTAGAAGGGACCTCAGAGTTCTCAAACAATTTCCTGGTTCTGCAATCACAAAAATGTTTGAAGGCATTAGTCTAGTCTCATATCTGAAAGACAGAACCGAATACTAAGATTTAATGGATAAGATACCACTGAGCTTCCTGAAATTAAAGCAGGACTGAGTCAAGATATTTTGGGTTCCAAAGAAAACCTCAAGATCTTCTTAGAATCCAGATAATTGCTGGAAAAACATATGTGAACAGTGTCCAAATCTTCCACCTTAAACACTTTCCTTTGATAGCACAAGACCTGGGAAGATGAGTAGGCACAGCAACACAGGAAAAGTGACCAAGGATGCTACTATTGCCACCAGGAAATAAAGCTGTTTGAGCAGCTCAGGGGGCAATAGGGCAGCTTTAATCGCTGGGGAAGGCTTCAAAATTACATAATTATAGCACTATGATTCCACTTTAACTGCCAGGGTTCCACTATGGAATCCTGGGTTTTTAACAGCATCTTTTAGTGAAAGTAAAAAATTGTCTGATCAAATGGGCTCAAAGTATATGTGCTGTTGGAATAGTGAGAGAAGGTGTAGACTGTAGATGAAAGAGTTTGAAGTTTACTTTTAGTGAACTGAAAGAAAAAAAACATATAAGATGATGGCCTTTAGAACCAGAGACAATTTTTAGGATGTATATGGGCATTTCTAACAAATAGTAAAAATGTGTTAGGAGAGTATATCACATGTGGTGGTCTTGCGGGAAGGTCCAGAAATATTGGACTCAAAGACATCTGGTGCTGGAAGATATTATTCAAGTTAAACTTAAGATGAGACTGGAGTTTTATTTGTTGGGAATGCTAGACGACCATCTAGAAAGAAGATAAAACAGCTGATGAAGATCTGAGGAAAAACAAAAACTGCTAGCTGCGCAGAAGCTGGGACTAAAAGCGGGAGCTCACCCCGCTCTCCGGACTCGAACCTGCAACCTTCCAGTCAGCAAGTTCAGCGCTTTAATCCACTGCACCACCGAGGGCTCCTCAGTAATGCCTTACCTAACTTTAATTGCAATTATGGCAAGTTTTTTTTCATGTCAGGAGCGACTTGAGAAACTGCAAGTCGCTTCTGGTCTGGGAGAATTGGCCATCTGCAAGGATGTTGCCCAGGGGACACCTTGGGCAACCATCCTTGTGGGAGGCTTCTCTCATGTCTCTGCATGGGGAGCTGGAGCCGGCAGAGGGAGCTCATCTGTGCCCTTCCCAGATTCAAACCTATGACCTGTCGGTCTTCAGCCCTACCAGCAGGGGATTTAACCCATTGCACCACTGAGGGCTCCATCATGGCAGTTAAAGTGGAATCATAGCTCTATAACTGTGTATTGTAAATGCTCCTGATGGCGATGACTGTTGTTGCTGTCCCTTTCTACACTACCACTGAAAAAGGATGGATACTGATAACAGTGGAAGTCACCAATAGGATTCCTTCTTTCCTGTCTCTCCACAAGCTAGAGATTTTAAAAGGTTCATTTACTTCTTGTAATTATACCCATACATCCTTGAAGATATGAGCCACAATTGTCCAGTTATACCGCCGGGTCACAGATTACAAGAACAGGTTTTCGTATCTCCTTAAAGTCAGCAGTTAGCTCTCATTATTTTCTGTAAAGCTAGTTTAAGCTGAGGACACAGTCAAGTATATCCCAGTCCCCAAACAAGGAAGTGAAATTCAATCTTTGGGTCATCTATTTTGCTGAGGTTTGCGCAATACAACCTGCTTTAATTTATCAAGGGCTTTGACTATTGCAACCTGTGATAATACTTAGTTGGGACTAAATCTCATTGAAACTGGAGAAACTCCCCTCTGATTAGACATGGCTGTAAATCTGGAACCAATTCTATATAATAGTCATCTGTCCCAAGTTTGAAATAACACAACCTGTTAGGCTTCTTTGGTTCATTTCATCAGCAACGCACTAGAGGACTGGCTTTGCCTTAAGAAAAGGTGAGGCGGCATATGCAAAGTGATGGGAAAATGTTGGAGGACAGAGGACAGAGCCATATGCTACATTATCTATCTTTCTGTCCTTATATGTGAGGGAAAACATGTCCTCCCCCCTCCCCCCCCCTCCACATGGAAAACTAGGAGGAAAGGGAGGAAGAAATGCTAGCAAGTCCTTTGCCTTAGACAGCTAAACTGTTGGACCAGTCCTAACATGCCTGAACTTGTCATATTTAGAGATCTACAAGAGGTGTATTAGTTATGATTTATCTCACCATGAAGAGGATTTTTAATCCAGGTGAAGATCAGGCAACAGACAACACTGTTCTTTTCATTAAGAAACCCTGTCTCCATATGTTTTGGGAGAAAAAAAGTGGAAAGCAGCCTAGGATGATGCCTTCAAATGGTGGCTCTTAAACTTGGGTTCCCAAATGTTATTGGAGGTCAGTTCTCTGAATCCCTAATGATTTGCCATGTGGGCCAGGGCTTTGGGGAAATTAAGACCAACAACTTGTGAGAACAAGTTTGAGATCCACTGGCTGATTTAGGCAATGAAAATCGGTGCAAAACTTTTGCAAAATATGCATGTGCAGTATTATGCTATAATACAGTGGTTCTCAACCTTGCTAATGGCATGACCCCTTAGTACAGGTCCTCATGTTGTGGTGACCCCCAACCATAACGCTATTTTTGTTGCTACTTCATAACTGTAATTTTGCTCCTGTTATGAATCATAATGTAAATATCCGATATGCAGGATGTATTTTCAGTCACTGGACCACATTTGGCACAAAACCCGATACGCCCAAATTTGAATACTGGTGGGGTTGGGGGTGATTGATTTTGTCATTTGGGAATGCTGGAGTTGCTGTGATTTATAGTTCGCCTTAAATCAAAGAGCCTTCTGAACTCCATCAATGATGGAATTGAATCAAACATGGCACACAGAATTCCCATGACCAAGAGAAAATACTGGGAAGGTCTGGTGGACATTGACCTTGAGTTTTTGGAGTTGTAGTTCACCTATATCCAGACTGTGGACTCAAGCAATGATGGATCTGGATCAAACTTGGCACAAATACTCAATATGCCCAAATGTGAACACTGGTAGAGTTTGGAGAAAATAGACCTTGCCATTTGGGAGTTGTAGTTGTTGGGATTTATAGTTCACCCACAATGAAATAGCATTCTGAACCCCACCAATGATAGAATTGGGCCAAGCTTCCCACACAGAACCCCCATGACCAACAGAAAATACTATGTTTTCTGATGGTCTTTGGTGACCCCTCTGACACCCCCTAACCCCCACAGGGGTCCCGACCCCCAGGTTGAGAAACACTGCTATAATAGTTGTGATTCCCGAGGTGAGGGGGAATTCACACTATCTACAGCACTGGTGGTTAGGAGATGAAAAGGATGGAAAATTCACATGATAGACTAAGAGTCAATGTCTCCAATTTACTGAAACATTCCAGGTCATAATATTTTGCTGGCCCAGGCTTGGCCCAGCATCTCATGTCTTATCTCCCAGTCATAGTGGGACAATATATGGATATACACATTGCTTCTAAGGCAGTGGTCCTCAACCTGTGGGTCCAGTCCACAGATGTTTTGTACTTCAACTCCCAGAAATCCTAACAGCTGGTAAACTGGCTGGGATTTCTGGGAGTGGTAGGCCAAAACACCTGGGGACCCACAGGGTGAGAACCACTGTTCTAAGGGGATATTTTTTCCTGCCCTTGAGAATTGGGCCACATGGTTTTACTCTGTTTTCAATGTGAAAGTCAATCAGAGGAAACAGGTAAGTCTTGAACAACTCCAAAACGCAATAGAAATAGTGGGAGCCTCTGAACTCCTACAGAGCCTAGGATTTGTTATACAGACAGTACCTAACTATACTGAAGGAGAAGAACATTGATCTCCTAGCAGACGCATGTTCAGCACTACCATTCTCAAATCTGCAGCAGGACGAGGTGGTAGAAAAAACTCTTCCATTTAAGACTACAGGAGATATTATTTTTGGGAAACACTCGCTCTTGTGTGTAAGAAATCAATAACACTGCTTATGTGTCAAGATTTTCTGGATCTATATGCAGCTCCTCCGTGTGGTGAACAACTGAATTTAAGTGAAAGACTATTAGGCCCTGGGACAAACTCGAATGGTATTGTCGAAGGCTTTCATGGCTGGAATCACTGGGTTGTTGTAGGTTTTTCTGGCTGTATGGCCATGTCTAGAAGCATTCTAGAATGCTTCTAGAACATGGCCAAACAGGCAGAAAAACCTACAACAACCCAAACTCTAATGGCTTTCCTATTCCAGTATAGCCTTACTTCACTTACAAGACATTACATCTTGATGTCTTCCTGCATTCTTGATTCAGATCCGTTCCTTGGTCCTAGTTACTGCCATGTCCAATGGCTCTTGGCTCATCTGAAACGACCATAGCAATGGGAAAGCTTGTTTGGGGGAGGGGGAGCCAGTTCTCACAATCCCTGTCTCAGTATTACTCAATGTAGCAGTAATGTGGCACTGCTTGTTTACATTGTCCGGCTGGCCTTCCACTTTTGCAGGTTTACCTTTTG